GTCCCGATTATCAGCATTCGAGATATTTCCCATTTCAGGTAACTTCAACCTTTCATAATTTTATTCCATAAAATTATCTGTTTCTCATAAAATCTTAATGCAGCTGTAAATTTGATTACACCAATGGAAAGAGCATTGAATAAACCTAATAAAAAAGGACAAAAAAGAAAAATTCATCGTAAAAAATTTTAAAAAAGAAAGAAACAATAAACATAGTGAACAACTAAAGCAGAAAACTTGGACAAATATCTACACTAAACAACAACTGTGAACAACCAAAGCAAGAAACAAATTACGTTAAATTTTTGTCCAATTTTTCTGCTTTGGTTGTTCGCTATGTTTTATTCTCTCTTTTTTATTTGTTTTGTTTGATTTCTAAGATGAATTTTTCTTTTTTCGATGTTTTTGTCAGGTTAACGTTGTGGGTTTTACAACTTTTGTATTGATGTTAGTTTGTCTATGTTTAGTGTAGATATTTGGTCCAATTTTTCAGCTTTGGTTGTTCGCTATGTTTTATTCACTCTTTTTATTTGTTTTGTTTGATTTTTACGTTGAATTTTTTTTTAATGCTTTTTATTAGGTAAAAGTTGGGTTTTACTTTCCTACCGCCCAATGGAGACTTATCCTGACATGTAAAGAAAACCCTGGGAAAAGAATTTTAGCAACGATAGTCAATGACCTAGTACTTCTTAGGAGAAGGATCGAGTCGATTGCACTGAACTAAGGAACTAAGAAAGTACAATAAGCCAAAGCTGTAGTGCTTGGGGGAACAAAAACCCCTCTTCCTAGTATCATCATCAACTGTTTGGATTGGCAGATGGATCATCAAGCGTTTTCAGGCGTACTGGCGCAGTCTTGCAGGACAGTCAGGCCCTACTCCCATAGGGATTTTCGAGTCTCTGGGCGACTAAGATACTCAGTCCAGGGGGACAAAACAGTAGCACTACTTATACCATCATCTACTGTGTGGAACTTACCACTTTCCAGCCAGTGCATTGCAATGCAGTGTTTTGCCAAAAGTGCTGTTCGTTTTCTCGTAAAGATTTTCTATTAGTGGTCCTATCTTTATCCTGGTCGAGAAGGATCTGCAAGACCATATTTAGGCCCTGAACTTATTCTTGGGATAACAAAAACAAACACAGAATTCTCCATCATAGAACGGATGCAAAATAAGAAAAAAGAAGACGTGGATAAACTCTACGGGTGCTGGACACAGTAAACTTTTAATGAAACAACCCTCACCAAGACTGGCAAACTCACTGCTACAGTCAAAGAGGGCAAAACTCATAGGAGTGATAGGACTATTTACGTGTCACTGCCATCTCAGACAGCATCTAACATGGATTTATTTAATGATGATCCCATTTGTAGGATATGTAATGAGGATGAATAAACAGCCACACAGATCATGGTCGAATGAGAAGCAACCGCTCAATGGAGATATAACCTGGGATACAAAGAAAACCCAGGGAAAGAAATAGTAGCAACAACAGTCAGTGACTTAGTACTTCTTAAGAGAAGGATCGAGTAGATAGACTGAACTGAGGAACTACGAAAGTACAATAAACCAGAAGGCTGCAGTGCTTTGTGAACAAAAACCCCACTTCCTACTTTCTTTTCATCATCATCATCATCATCCAGATAATCAATTAAGGTTCACCGCTTAACCAGAATAAACCATACGATTCAAGAAAAACGCCTAGAACTGGAAAAGCCGAATTGCTATTTTCCACCAGGTCACACAGGTCCTAAATTAAGAAAATTGCTAAATATCTTTGATAAAAATGGACGGTACATTACAGAACAAATTAATCTTATTATTTTCTTTAAAAAATCCGCGATTACTTAGTTGTTAACTCGATATTTTCAACAAAGTTTTTCTATGTTGTTTCTATGTTTGTTTTCTGTGTTTCTATAAACAATTGTACATTTGTTTAGATCTAGATTCTGGCCGTATTTTCTTTGTCTCGTTTATCGAATTGTCTCTATTATTATGCAAAAGTGAGATGTGGTGGCCACGTTTATATGCATATATAAAAATGGATAAAAGATGGAAATTCAAAGAAGGGGGAATTGTTTAAAAGATTAAATAAGTTGTAGATGATGAAGTAAAAAGATATTTGCTGTTTGGAGTGTATGGGAGTTTCCTGGTCGGACTGTACAGGAGTCCCACGGGAGCGAAGCGCCACTGCTGGGAAATGAGGCAAAATGAGGGTAGGGTGAAGGCATCCCCAGGGAGCTGCCCCTTCCAGGTGCCCCTACACTATCACAAAAAAGTCTGATTAGTTCTCTGAATCCCTCGAGGAATAAAACCCACCCCACCGCCTCGCTTTTTCCGTCACTTCACTCTATCATGTTACCTTAATCAATTAATTCCAATCAAAAACGATATAATTAAGTAAGTATAAACGAGCTACAGGCACAGCCGCCGACTCAGAACCGGGTCGATCAGACGTCAACGCCTCAAGGATGATAACCGTTCGAATTAAACCCAACTTTTTAGTTGTACGAGTTTTAACGACAAAATTAAACAAAAAATCGATATGTATCCATTTACACGAAGCGTCTCTCAAGCGGTAAACTGTTATCCACATCATTCACGAATAGTTCATAAAATACATGCAACGTGCTAAAAAACTTCTGGTTAGGTTGTTATATCGATTTTAGAACTATTTTTCACTGGGTTTGTAGTAGGTCTGTACGTGGAAGAAAGCCTGTCGCACTGCGGCCACAAAATGGAAATCATTGTGCTCCTCCATATATGGGTTATGTATCCATGTATCAAGTTTATGCATATTACGGTAAATTTCAACTATCGCTGTCAGTGTACAAGGGACTTTATAGAGCTGATCGACTTGGAACGGTGAATTGATTGAATTTCGTATTAGGTGACAACGAACGAAGCTTCAGCAGCTTTAGGTTTTTTATGAGCCTCTACAGTCTTTATAGTGACTGCTTGGTTATATTTGCTGTATTCAGCTATTCTTTGTCCGAGATTAAAAAGATTCTCGTTGTCGAGCATTCACTATCTGTACTCAGGTCGTCTCATCTTCCTAGGCAGGACCTACACAGCTTATTTTCTGTCACTCCCAATATCTTGAAGCGGACATTAGGATCAGCAATATCCGGCAGACCTGAAATGAGTCTGAGTTTTGTTTAGCCTTGATGCATCAGGTTTGAAGTTTAGGCGAGACTTTCTTAACAAAGTCGTTTGCCATTTCCTGGGATGTTGTTTCACCAGTTATGAATTTTTAACAACATTTTTTATGGTAGTTAGGAATTTGACAAAAGGGGGTCCTTCTCGTGCTTCTGAGGACCCTTCCCTGGTCTATCATCCTCTTCGTTACCCTTATGTCCTATGTGCCGTGGGCCCCAGACTTGATTTGGTTCTCTATTCCTGCTTCTCCCAGCGCACTCACGAAGTCCCATAATGTACGTGATCATAACTTAAGCGAGGTGAATACTTTGAGCGATACTAGGAAGAATAGAAAGCACTCTGCCTTCCACTCCCCGTAATTTTATATCTTTTGCGTTTAGCTCAATTTCAAATTTTCCGAGAGAGTTTGGCATTTTAACTTTAAACAAATAGAGTCAGCGATGACTGGTAGTCTTTTCTCCCATGCTGTTCTTTTTGGTATTATAATTTGGAACTTTGCGAAGTTATAAGTACGCATCATGGCTTATTAGGTGCCCAGTTTTACAGCTTTTTGAAATTTGTCGTTTAAGTTTAGCTTAAAGGAGCCTGTCCTTGCACCGATCTTGCTTCTATGTGTAGTGGAATGTTTAATAGCATTGACCCTCGTAGTTCTTGGCTTGAAATTCAGGTATGCCTTTCTTTATAAAGTTCCACTGTAGAATATTTTCCCGCGACACAATTGCCTCATTGGCTTAACGACTCTTGTATTCTATTTAGTCAGAGGGTTCATTTTGTTGCTTAAACCCGAGCTTTTTCCATATAATCTTGAAACGATTGTGGCTTTCTCTGTGACTTTTCTTAGGTGTTGGTATGGTAGAAAGGATACTGCGGTAGAAATGGTGAATGATGGAGTGAGTGCGGTGTTCAATCCTTTTTTCAAAAAGATAGTTCAGTAAGAAAACGGTGAGTAGGAATTATCTTTTTTAAAAAAGGATTACTAGGAACCGGGGTTTGCACTCCCCAGGCACTGCAGCCTTTTGGCTTATTGTACCTTCCTAGTTCCTTAGTTCATTGCAATAGACTCAATCCTTCTCCTTAGAAGTATCAGGTCATTGAATGTCGCTGCTGCGTTTTTCCGTTTAAGTTTTTTCCAGATGTTAGGTTAAATTTCCATTGAGCTGTTGCTTCACATTCGAAGAGGATGGGTGGCTGTTTCCTCCTCCTCATTATATAATCTACAAATGGGATCATCGCTGTATGTAGATGTTGTGTAGATGGTTTTTCAGATGCCAGTGACCGGTTAGTAGTCCATTCCTCTGAGTTTGGCCCTCTCCAATTGCAGCAATGCTTTTGCCAGTCTTGGTGAGGAATGTTTTATCATAAGTTTACTATGTCTAGCACCGCTAGAGTTTATCCACTTCTCCTTTTATTTTATTTGGATCCATTCTGCGATGGAGGATTCTATATTTGTTTTTGTTATCCCAAGTGTAGGTTCGGGGCGTATGTATGGTGTTGCGGATCCTCCTCTGGCCAGTCCGTCCGTTGTTTTCGGTCAAAAACGAGTTCAAGGTATTTGAACCTCTTCTCTGGAGGAGTAACTACCCTATTTAGCAACGGTTTGAAGTTGAGGGTTCAACATCCGTGTAATAGTCCTAATGAAGGCGTTGTAGTCAAAAACTCGTCGGAGAAATTATGTATTTCTACTTGCAGACCTCTAGCGCGATTGATCCTTATTAATCAATGTTGTTTGGCGAAGGGTTAGTACAAATCTTAAAACGGACATGAACAAATAGACGTGCTCAAAAACAATGTCAGATATCAACTACACATATAAAATTGTTTTCTTTTGAGTAAAATGTATTACCTTCCAGTTTTTCTACGTCCCACTCTTCTTTGTCGTCTTCACCTAAAACAAAAAACACAATGTAATAAATGATTTAAAGACGCATCAAATCAAATCATTTTGATTTTCTGCTATGCCGGATGGATTTATTTCCTTGTAATAAGCTAATAACATAACATTGAGCATGTCTCTAGCTGTTAACTGTTTGTAAGCCTTGATCCTTAGAATTATTGAAAATAAAAATTTCACGCTCATATACATAACCACCCTATAAAACATAAGAAGTGTGGTCACATTATGCCTCCAGATTACTCTATATTTCTCGGGGCAGGGTTGAACCCACTGCATTCTCGCTAATAATTTACTTTTTCTCTCCAGACGTCACACATCACCCCAGAGTACTCGATATTCCTCGTGGCAGAGTTAAGCAACCCCTTCCTTTCACGCTTATAAATTCCATTCATTCCAATAAACTAACATAAACACAACTAACAGACACAATACACATAAACACTATATACATTTAAAAAATTTTATAGCCCTGAGGTACCGGAACAGCGATCTGTGCCCGTTGCCGTGCCCCAAGACTGCACACAGGTCCCATGACATGCCAAAATATTACTTATATATTTCATGCCTTCTACGATTGAAAAGGTACTCGATCATTATTTTATTCTTGCATAACGGGCATCTATGCGGCCGCTTTCCGACCAGAAGGTGTCGTAAGTTATTCTTAAGTAAGTTATTCCGTGTTATTCTTGTATGACCTATGCTTAGTCTTATCAGTAAAACCTTTTCACGGTAATCTAGTTTTAACAAAGTCATTGAGCTAAAATTCGTCATCTGCCCTTCAAATGTAGTAAAACCCGACTTTAACATAATGAAAAAGCACAAAAAAGAACAAAAATTCAATGCAAAAATCAAACAAAATGTAAAAACAGAGATAATAATCATAGCGAACAACCAAAGCAGAAAAATTGGACAAAATATCTACATTAAACACAGACAAAAAAATACAGAATTTGTAAAACCCACTTTTAATCTAATAAAAAATCTAAGAAAACACATAAAAAAGACACAATAATAATAGAGAACAACCAAAAGAGAAAAATTTGACAAAATATCTACACTAAACACAAAAAAAGAACAACAATCTAAGGTTGTGCAACCCAACTTTAATCTAATAAAAAAGCACAAAAAAAAGAAAAATTCAACGTATAAAATCAAACAAAATATAAAAAAGAGACAATAAACATACCGAACAACCAAAACAGAAAAAAATTTCACAAAATATCTACAAAAAACACGAAAAAAGAACAATACAGAATTTGTAAAACCCAACTTTAACGTAATAAAATAGCACAAACAGAAAGAAAAATTCAATGTACTTTCTCTCCTTTGGTTCAAAATCAAACCAAATACATAAAAAAGAGACCATAAACATAGCGAACAACCGCAGCAGAAAAATTGGACAAAATGTTTTCACTAAGCACAGACAAAAATTAAAACAATGCAGAAGTTGTACAACCCAACTTTAATCTATTAAAAAAGCACAAGAAATAGAAAAGTTCAACGTAAAAATCAAACAAAACCATAAAAAAGAGAAAAAAATTAAAAAACCGAAGTAGAAAAATTGGACAAAATATTTGCACTGAACACAAACAAAAGTAAGAACAATACGGAAGTTGTACAACTCAACTTTATTATAATAAAAAAGCACAACAAAATTAAAAAGATTAACGTTAAAATCAAACAAACGCATAAAAAAGACATAAAAATCATTATAATATTATATATTAATTATAAATAAGAACCAAAGCGGAAAATTTTGACAAAATATCTACACTAAACACAGACAAAAAATACAGAATTTGTAAAACCCACCTTTAACCTAATAAAAAAAGCACACAAAAAAATTCAACGTAGAAATCTAACAATACGCACAGAAAAGAGACAAAAATTGTAGAGAACAACCAAAGCAGAAAAATTGGACAAAATATCTACTCTAAATAAAGACAACAAAAGAACAATAATACAGTAGTTGAAAAACCCAACTTTGACCTAGCAAATAAATTAAAAAAAGAAAAGTCAACGTTGTTTGTTTTTTACTTTGGTTATTCACTATGTTTATTGTCTCCTTTTAGTTTGTTTTTTTACGTTAAATTTTCTCCCGTCTGCCGTTCGAAGAGAAATTGCCGATTTTAGATGAAAACAGTTTACGAATTCACAAAAAGTGGAGACAGTTCTGTTATTATCAATTAGATTGATGTTAAAGTCACCACAAAGAAATGTACTGTTACACCTCTTGTATGCTGAAGCCAATAAACAATTCATATTTTCAAAGAAATAATCGAACTTTCCTTAGAGGAATCCTGATACAAGGAATTTAAGATGCTCCATAGAGATGCTCTATGGCTCTCCATAGAGAGCCACTTCCAGGTCTTTATCCTGATTATGAACCTTCAACTTATCAGCGGACTTAACCGACATATCGTGCAGGTCTGAGCGTACGAACTCTTCGTTCCTACCTCCCTTGAAAGATTTGCGAGCATTAAAGTCAATGGGAGAGATGTGAAAAACATTGTTGGAGAAACGGGTATGTTCGTTATTTGGCATTCAATAACGCTGAAAATCAGTGAAACATCCAACAAATCTAACTTATTTTCAATTTCCTGTATGTTTAAATTCATCAGCGTGATAGAAGAAGTCATCTTAATTTTTATAATTATTTCCTGGGTTAGTGTCAGATGGAAGAGCCACCATGATTCTCTCGTTTGCTCTAAAAACTGATCATTGAAATGAAATATTTTATTCGGAGAGAAAAATCTATTGGCAATATTCATTATTTAGTTGAGTCCACCTTAGTGTCAAGGTCCAAAACGTCTCTAGCCAAAACCAGACAGCCGATAGAGGATAATGAGTTTCCATGAGATTCATTTCTAAAATAGTAGTTTGGAATGATTTGAACATCGATATAACTCACATGATCAAATGAAATGCAAAGTTTTATAAAAAAAATTTATGGGTGAGTGGTTTCATCTATTCGAAGATGATGTCCACTATCATTACAGTGGGCACCAATGTGACTGAACATAGAATTAGCTTAAATTTAAATGAATCGTTGCATCAAGTTGAAAATCGACAAAAAAAAGGTTTGCAAGAACATCAAAAGTGACAAAATCAAACCTCTATATTTTAAATATTGGGACTATGGAATTGTCTTGGACCGACTCCCAAGGGGACGACCAGGTTGGTGTGACACGATATGGACCAATTTTTTTTTGGTAATTCTATACTCCAAAATATCAAATAGAATCCGCCACTTCTTGTGAATAGGCCCTGGTTTCGGCAAAAACAATTTTTGAAAGTTGATATTTTTCGTTTTTAAATATTTTTATTTCACCGTTCTACTTATTCAAATCAAGTATGTGAATATATCATTTTACAACAATTTTCATGTAGGTTGCAATAAAACTATAGTAAAAGCTATCAGAATTCATCAATAATCAAAATATTTTTAAAAACCAAATATTTTTCAAGAAAACTAGGCCAGAAAAAGTTTTTTCCTGAAACTAATATGAAATTTCGTTATAGCACATCTAGAGATACCTAATTAGAAATTTTTGTTTGAATTGAAAATTATCGATTTTTTTGACCACTAAAATTTTTCTGACTTTTGAGAAGTCGTTATCGGAATATATGATTGAAACGGCTATAATTCAAAAACGCCTAAAAGGATTTTAACGTCAAAGGGATCATTTGTATTGAATGAGAATCCATTGAATTTTGAATCCATTGAAGAGGAACGTAGGTAAATATTTAAGGACGTATGTCTCATTAAAATATATAAAATATTTCTATAAGATAATACACAAAATAGCAAAATTATTTGTCAGATATTAACCCGTTTTTATAAATAAAATAATATCCCGATTATAACGTTTGATTCAGTTATAAAATGCACTTAACAATTTCTTTAAAACGAATCATCACCCATGAAAATCGGTCCACTAGCTTTTGAGAAAGATTTTCTTAGACTTGACACTAAGGAATGTCACTCACCCAGAATGTCGTCGAAATTATCTGCCAAAAAACGTTAATTTACACCGATTTCAGCGAAAGTTGGTATCTAAGGGTTTTATAACACTCCAATCACGACAATGAGGTCAAATTCAACTTTTGATGATATTCTGATGTACTTTGCTTAAAGAATGATTGTTAAAAATATACAAAAAATGCAGTATTTTGTTGATTTTTCTGATAACTCTATTTTTCGCGGAAATCGGCGTAAATTAATTTTTAAATCCATTACATTTCGTGGTCCGATTGACCAAATAACTTCTTTCAATTGGTTGAGATAAAAAGTCAGTGTCACGAGCGGGATTCGAACCCACGACCGTAAAAAATTTTTGAAAAAAGGAGGGAAAATTCGAGAGGTGGGTTGAGATGGGGAGTTGGTGTCCGAGTGGATCGAAGACACGATAGCTCAAGTGGTAGAGCAGCAGCGTATTTAGCCGAAGGTCGTGAGTTCGAATCCCGCTCGTGACACTGGCTTTTTATCTCAACCAATACCTCGCATAAAGATTAATTAATTAATTTTTAGACTTTTTTTAATTATAGCCGTTTCAATCAGATATTCAGATGACGACGTCTCATAAACCAAAAAAAATTTCTTGTGTCAAAAAATTGATAAATATAAATTCAAACAAAAATTTATATGTAGGGATCTCGAGAAGGGCTAAAACAAAATTTCATATTAGTTTCACGATCAAAAAATTATGACTTAGTTTACTCGAAAAATATTTGGTTTTTAGAAATTTTTTGGTTTTGATGCTTTAAAATGATTCGATATATTGACGTAGTTGATTTGAGCAGGTAGAAAGGCAAAATAAGAATATTAAAATACGGAAAATTTTAAATTTCGAAATTTGTTCTTGGCGAAACTACAGCCTATTCACAAGAAGTGGCGGATACATGCCCGATGTTCTGGAGTTTAGAATCACCAAAAAATGTTTTGCCCAAATCCCTGACAGACCGACCAGGTCGTCCCCTTGTCAGTACGC